GTTAGAGGAACAGGGGGAGATGGAGGCGGGGTGTTGTTAAGTGACGTACTGAAAAGTGAGTTCAAAGGTTGTTTTATAGTTTTTAACGATTTTGAGTTCTACACGAAACATTTGGTTTAAACTTTTCTTTCTTTCACACGATATTGTTCCCTAAGATGGCAGGGGGAAAGCAACTATCTTTTCGAGATAAACTGAACGTTATCAATGATATTGATGAGGGAATGAAGCAAATTGATGTAGCTAAGAAACATGGATTATCGCAATATACAGTTGCAACATTCCTAAAGAAGAGAAAGCAAATCGAAGATGCTGTAACTTCAAATGAAATTAACCCAGAGCGAAAATGACTGAAAGTTGCGACAAATGAAAACATTGATGCTGCTGTTTTAAAATGGTTTCAAGAGATGAGAGCAACAAATGTCCCAATAAATGGACCTTTATTATGTGCAAAAGCACGGAAATTTGCAGCAATGCTAGGGAACGAAACTTTCAAAGCTAGCAATGGTTGGTTAATGTGTTTTCGAGATCGTCATGGAATAACTTTCCAAGAAGTTCACGGAGAGAAAAAGTCAGCCCCGATAAACAACGCAAATGAATGGCGGCAAAACAAGATGAAAGAAATCTTAGAAAAGTATGCTCCAGAAGACATTTATAATGCAGATGAAGCTGGGCTGTTTTTTCCAACTCCTACCCGATCGAACATTGGCATTCAAGGGTGAAAAGTGTTATGGAGGGAAGAAATCAAAGCAGAGACTGACTGTTCTTCTGTGTACAAATAGCACAGGAACGTATAGAATACAACGTCTCGTCATTGGTAAATCATTGAAGCCAAGGTGCTTTAAGAACGTGAAAAGTCTTCCCAGAGTATAAAGCAAATAAGAAGGCTTGGATGACGTCTAAATATTTTTCCGAATGGTTACAGAAGTTAGACAATGAAATGAAGAAGAGAAAGAAAAAAATCGTTTTGTTGATAGATAACTGCGGTGCTCACACGTCATTTCCAAAGCTACAAAATATCGAAATCGCTTTTTTCCCTGCCAATTGCACTTCAATTTTACAGCCTTTTGATATGGGCGACCCTTTCAAAGCTCTAAATGTCAAGGAAGCGTGTGACAATATTGCTGAAATTTGGTGGGAAGTAACAGAAAAAACCATTCGGAATTGCTGGAAAAAGGCCGGTCTTTGTGTTATGGAAGATAAGAAATCTGATAATGATGAAAATTCCATAGACAATTATCTCTCAGATGATCAAGAATGTGTTTTGTGCATCAAAAAATCCATATCCCAACTTGAGGAAACAAGTGGTAAAAAGTTTGGAATTAGTATAGAATACTATTTAACAGCAGATGATGATCTTATGGTTTTCGCAGGAGTTACTGATGAAGATATTCTCTCTGAAATTACTGATGAGATAGGAAACAATGATGAAGACGATGATGATACTGATGATGATGATAATACAGGTCCATCGCAGTCCTTATTGTCATCCCAGGAAGCTCTTCAATCTGTGAATTCTCTACGGACATTTTTTTCAAGCCTTCCGTCGACAAATGAAGAACATTTTCGTGCACTAGACTCAATGCATACAGTATTGGTGAACTTAACAGTTAAAAAAAATCCATAAACAAACAAAAATATTGGATTATTTTCAATAAAAAGTGTTTTCAGGTATGTGAATATTGCTGTGCTTATTTCTGAATTTATCTTATTTATTTATTTTTTTAGTATTTAAACCACTATTATTAGTATTTTACAAATTAATTTCTTCTAAATATAGACTTAAAAGTAGTATGTTATGCACCTTAAACTAATAATAATAAAAAAAAAACTCTTATTAAATGCTCAAAATATGTGGGCCCTCGATATAACAATATGCCTCTCTACAACAATATATTTATTTGGTCACTAAAATATTGTTGTAAGGAGGTTTCACTGTATATGTAAATCATTTTTGTGAAAATATATATGAAATTGTAGTATCTTTTGTATAATGTAACATGAAGTAAGTTTGAAGAGATGAAAAGCTTTGCCAAAAATATAAGATTATACGGGCATGTCTATTTAACACTGAAGCAAATGACTAACTTGCTAAATCCAGTTATTTCCAAGCTGGCAATGGTTTACATGACTAAGTTTGGTTGTTAAGAGTCGCCAATCTTGGTGACCATTTGGGTCTGATCCTGGCATAACTGTAATTGGTACTGTAACAGACTAACTGTGATTGATCCTTATATGTAACTGTAACTATATCTGGCCCTTACATGCAACTTGAGGCATATATGCCTTCCAGTAATTTCACGAAATGGAAGGTACTAGAGATTTCTCGGAAGCCAACAGAAAACTATATAAACCTGGAGGGAGCATCAGTTCTTAGTTTCAAGTCAAAGCTGACTTCAGAGTATTGAGAGATCATGTAAGCTTTGCTCTTTGCATTGTGTTGTGTTTAACATCATTAGTAGTTTGAAATGGTAACTACTGATTGTCTCTATTATACTGAGAAGCACTGTCTGAGTACTTTTGTGGAATGTTTGTTACAGTGTTTCGTTTGGAAAAATCCATTTAATCAAGCTACCATCAGTTCTACGTTCATTCAATCCATTACGAACCTGTGTGCACATAACAATACGTCAAACATATTTGATATTTTATTTTAATATGAGCTTCCTGAATAATTTTGTTTGTTAATTAACTTAAGTTGTATTTTCTCTGCAGGAAGCACTGAGATATGGACACAAATTTAAGAGACATAGATATACTGACTTTCATAATAAGCCTACATTCACATATTCTTGAGGTATTAAAAAAATACCAGATATCACATTTTAAACAATTGGAATCTTTTAATTCTCTCTGGAGATAATGTCAGTAAAGTAGGCTTAATATGCTTTGAAAAAAATGCATGATTTTACAAAATACATCTTCACATTATGAATACTTTAAATGCAACATATATAAATTAAAAAAAGAATAAATATAATATCTGAAATAAATATAAATTATTTCTTACAAGCACACATTTAAAACATAATTCAATAGTTATATGCATAATACAAATTATATCATTGTAACTATCAAGTTTCTCTATAAATTCTTGCTTAAAGTTTGCTTATCTCAGTTTGTTTAATTTACAGAAAGGAAGAGAAGACTGATCGAATCTTAAATCAGTATGGGAAATAGTCAGTCTGACTTAAAATATTGACCATTTACTACAAAACAATAACAACACCCCCACCAAACAAGGCTGTGAACTTGACATTTGGAAAAGTATCTTCGGCGTTTTGCCAGAAATTTATATTTTGCTGCTATTTTCACTTACATGTATTTCCCATGTTATACCTTAAAGTTTTTGTATTGTGTTACTAGCATATTGTACAAGATGAATATAAAAAGTTTTCATAAATCAAAATTTGAATTTCTTCCCAAACTAAATACAGTACAAAGTCTTTAATCCAGACTCGTCGGGACTTTGGCGATTCCGAATTAGGGGTTTTTCCAGATTATAGATCATCAATTTAAATCTGGTAAGATGGCATGCAGAAATTATAAAATTAAAAATATGAAACCGTAATTTATGAAATAAAGAGCAATTATGATCTAAAGGGTATCAAAATTTACCAAAAAAAAAAAAAAAAAACTTAATATTTATTTGTTTTCTTTATTAAACATTTCTTTCAATGTAAGTGCTTCGTTTTTTGTGCTAATACTTTCTCTTTAATTCTATAAACAGACATAATTTCTTGTTCAGTTCCACTGTTCAAGTCCTGTAATTGCTGTGTCAAGAATGCCGACTAACTTAGGAATTGAAATTTTTTCGTTTTCAATAACCTCTCTTCACTTTCTTCACTATCGGGAGTGGTACATCGAAACATGCTTTCGCTTTGTAAATCCTTTGTCAGCTCCAGAATTGGAAACTCTTTTTGACATAATCGAAAGTTCAAGCTTAATTTTTATAAGATTGCTCTAACAGTCTGCAAAAAATAATAAGCCGGATCCAGTTGGAAGATCAATGAACAACGCAATTTGCAGCATTAACTGAAATAAATAATTAGATAATTTTAGTTTAGCTTATACCGTCCGTTATACATTAAACGCGCATGCGTAAATGTATTATGCACATGCGTAAATGCATTATGCGTTTATGCATGCGCAGAAAGTTTGTAGCTTTGAGGTCCAGATTATAGATCATTCCGGATTAAAAACTTTTTTATGACAATTTTTTATTCATTTTCCTCAAAGCTTTGCAGGCAATATAATTTAATGAATGGCTTATCATAGTCAACAGAATTAAACTGAAATAAACACAGACTTGAGGTACTAAAGTTTGCAAGCAGTAAAATGTTATTTTGTCATTGCTTTGTTACAATAAAATTATATTTGATAAAGCAATAGTTCTGGATATCAGGAATATTAACGCACTTTAGAGACATCCACATGTTCCAAGCATCTTTAAAATATTTTAAAATGAGTAACTGGATATGATTTATTCTCAAAGCAAATTTTAAGAGACCAAATGTACAAACTGAAAAATTTGATAACAACTTGAAAAATCATAAATTGTTCAGTTCCTACAATTATACATAAATAATTACCTCAGAAATATTGTAACAAATAGAATTTGGAACCGAAGATTACATAAGCACTGAAGTGAATCTCTAATACAAATTAAACATTGTGGTTGCATTCCGAAATTTAAAAGAATCCAGTACAAAATGAAGTATACATCTTACTTCTTTATACGTAAATTCTAAAGCACATATGAAATACTAAAACACATATGAAATTAGGGTCAATGATAATGTACAAGCTGCACATGAAAACCTAAATAATTAACCACAGAGAGATTTTCAGAGATTATAATTTCTACATGAAAAATATATTTCTTTATATAATATTTATGAAAACATTTAAATAATATATGAATTTAATTCTTGCTGTATAATTGTTTAATTTAAATAGCTTAGTTATTAGAAAAAACTTCTGATAATTTTCAAGCATCTTACAGTATGTCCTTCTTTCACAGATGTCTGTAGAGTTTCCTTTAATGGAGTTGATGAATCTGAAGTTTGGTAGCCAAGAATATGAGCACAGGCATCATAGAAACCTTTAAGCTTAGAAACATTCAGCTGACAAAAAACTGGTGTCTTTAGCTGTAAGGGCAGGAAACAGTAATCAAACATATCCTTTAAAATACAGATGATGTTAGAGGTTTTACATGTATGATATGATATGTAAACCTAACTAGGCAATTAAACAAAGATCAATGTATGTATAAAGGGGATTTTTTTCAAACATCTCAATACATTTTCATCATGCCTAAGTTTTAAAATTTAGAGTAAATAATAAGAATTTATATTTATTATGGACTGTTATGGATAAAATGAATTCAAATTTATGTTTATTTTAATAAACTTTTGTAAGCACATTTAAGCACTGTAAATCCATAAACTAAGTTCTGTTATGGTGTATGAACCCATATGTGTATTTCAAATGAAACAAACTGCATGAATGAAATAAATGAATATTAAAGAGTTCTTACTTTTGAGTACAAGTCTGATGCTCGAATGAAATGTTCACTTGCTTTTCTATATTTTTCTTGAAAAAAATAAAAGCGTCCTAAATCATATGATACCTAAAAAAATCATTATTTGGATAATAGTTAGACCAGATTTCATTTTATAGAACTTAATACATATAATTTTGAACACAATAGTTTTAACATGTTCCAAGATCAAGCACAATCAAATATTTTCCATAGATCTCAAAATGTATGCACAATATCAATTTCCCATGTGACAAAGTGCCTAGTTTATACAGAACACAACTCAGAATATTTGTAAGAAAATACCAATTTTACTCGCAAAAATTATGTGCAACAGATATTGAGTTAACGGTAATTTTTCAGCGTGCCTCTCCTCTCAAAAAATGCTTTATGAGGTTACTACGATAAGTGTTAGAAAAACAGATAAAATTCAACAAATGATGAAGAAGATTTAATTATTTACAGAACATTAACTATTAAAAATCATAGCCAAATGGAAAGTTTATCATCATTAATATTAAAAAATTAAGAATTTGTACATATATCCCCCGCACTGAGGAAAAACAGCAGCACTTAGAACCACTAAATTTTGAATATGTGTAGTCCTCTACCCGAACATGTGCACCTCAAAACAAGAATTTTAAATCTGTTTCTGAATTATTTCAGCCTTTGTGTGATTTTAATGAATTCTTGCTTAATAAACTGGCTATGAAAAAGAATTGTGTAGCCACTCTACAAGGTGTTAAAACATTTACGGCATATCCGGAAACTAAGTACCATTTTGAAAAAAAAAAATAGCAGAACAATTTTTTCGAATCCAATTTTATTTTTACATGAAAATACATGTCTTAAACTATTTTTCAACATAGTTTCCGCCAATGATCAAACACTTGTCATAGCGGGTGACCATTTTTTGTATACCATTGTCAAAGAAACTCCCGCCAGTTTCGATAACCACGACTCCACAGCATTTTTCGTGTCATCATCAGATCCAAAGCGCTTGCCACCAAGCTCGCGCTTCATGTGCAGGAACAAGTGATAGTCGGACGGCGCCAAGTCCGGGCTGTACGGCGGGTGATCGAACTGCTCCCAATGAAACTGTTGAATTAACGATTGAGTGACACCAGCAGTATGGGACCGAGCATTGTCATGGAGCAACACAATTCCTTTACTGAGCATTCCTCTTCGTTTGTTTTGAATGGCACGCCTTAGTTTTGTTAAAGTCTCACAATATCGTGCCGCATTAATGGTTTCACCTCTGGGAAGAAATTCAGTAAGCAAAACGCCTTTCCTATCCCAGAAGACAGTGCACATGATTTTTTGTAATGACATTGTCACTTTGAACTTTTGTTTTTTCGGAGAATGAGTGTGTCTCCACTCCATCGATTGTTGTTTCGATTCTGGTGTGAAATGACACACCCAAGTATCATCACCAGTCACAATTTGGTTTAAAAAGTTTTCTCCCTCATCACTGTACCGCGTGAGAAATGTCAGGGCACTACCAAGTCGCTTTGTTTTGTGAACATCTGTGAGCATTTTTGGAACCCATCGGGAACAGTTTGTGATAATTCAAGCGGTCAGACACAATTTCGAACAAAACAGTACGTGAAATTTGTGGAAATGCCTCTGAAAGAGTTGTCATTGTGAAGCGTGTCTGTTCTCATGAATTGCTTCATCAACTTTCCTTACCAAATCATCGGTGACAACAGAAGGCCGACCACTCCGAGCCTCGGCGTGGACATTTGTTCTGCATTAAACATTCTTACCCACTTTCTCACCATTCCATCACTTATCACGTATTCACCGTAAACTTCTGTCACTTGACGATAAATTTCGGCCGGTTTAATATTCCTCGCGTTCAAAAATTTAATCACGGCACGAATCTCACAGTCAGTGGGAGAACTAATTGTCTTAAACATTTGAATGTGCACAGCAAACTGAAAACACAACATAGAGCAACCAAAATGTCGACAATTGAAAGTCAGTGAACAAGAAAGACTAGTGTGCATGCGCGGGACGCCTACCACAGCGCTGCAACGGCGCTAGAATGAAACGATACTTAGTTTCCAAATACGCTACGTATATTTTAAATTTAATAAAAAAACTTGCCAATTAAAAAAAATGTGTTGCCACTTAGCAAAGTGTAAGATATTTGTTTTTCAAATTTAATAAAAAAACTCAGACATTTAAAAGAAATGTGTTGCCGCTGCCTGATATAAAATATTTTTATCTTCCATGAATCATAAGCTATTTAATTTTTTCTTCAAATTTAATCTGTCTATTACTAATTAATAGGCTATGCAATAAACACATTTCTTTATCTCTGTTATTATTAGGTATTAGCTGGACTTGTGAAATCACACTAGCTAGACTCATTAAAAGCATTATACATTTTTCTTTTTTATATTATATTTATATTTATATTATTCTTATATTTCTATTTTAGGTGGCTGGTCATGTCAGCAGCTGTTTTATTACAAATAACCCATATGACATAGAATATCTTAAACAGATAAAATGACAGAAAATACTTTACATTTGAAGTATTTCCCTCTTATTTAAAACATTATTATTCTAAATTTATTAAAATTTATTACTTCTACTAGATGTGCTTATTATTTAACCTTTTTTCATAACTGTTAATTAAAAGTCGGTATCATGGAAAAATCCCAAAGTATAAACAAAGAAAATAACGCATTTACCATATTTGCCCACATACTTTTCCCTTTGCCTTTTAGTACCATGTTTTGGAAATTAAAAAAATATTCATGCAATTTCCCCTTCTGCAATACCTTCAAAGAACAAGCTCCCCTAAATTTTGAAATGGATTCGTCCATGTAGTGATTGTTTTTTGTCTTATTAACAAATATACACCCTCACAAACTATGCTGAATCTTTCCCTTCTACCTGTTGAACTTTATGCCAGCATAATACAAAAACCAACCAGTCACAGTAAAGCAAATTGGAACTGACATTCAGTCTCTGATTTTGCTGAGTAGCTGCACATTCACTTCATATACCATATATGCTTACGTAATGTCCGCACTTTTTTTACTAAAGTTCAGGTGCGGACATTTCACAGGTCGTACAAATGTTGCGCCTTTTTCTCGTGAGTAATTTTAGGTGTAAATTTCATTTCAAACAGTTAAGTTAAGCGGAAGAAAATAGCAAGAAAGAGAAAGTAATAAAAGTATCAAATTTAAAGTTGTCTAATAGCTACCGAAAATTTACAAACTCACTTTCTCCCATCCACATATTACCCTGTTTACGTTATGAACACTCGGTGCATATTAGTTCGTACAGGAGCACAATACAGAGGCACAAATTAACCAACACTTGCAATTTCAATATTTACTTTTACAGAAAGTAAATTAACATTGGTTCTTTTAATATCTTGCACACATTATTTTTTTTTAAAAATCTGTTCTGACGTACTGTCTACATGCTACTAAAAATCCATTTCATTTTATCAATCACTGTAACCAGCCTTCACTCAAACTGAAGTGCGATGTAGAAATGTCTTGCTTTCATGCCACAGCAAGTGCTCGTATTTGGCACGTTTCCTGTGTTACTGTGTACCCTTGAGCACGCATATCACAAACATATGCAGCTACTTTTTTTTTTCCAAGTTCGGAAACTTACATTTCAAACCACGAAACTCACATCTTGTTTCATGCGTTGCCGCCAGTTGATCATGCTGTTTGCTCCAAATGTGTACACACTTTTTGTCCTCCTTATATGCACTTGCTGCTGCTCTTTTGCTGTGCAAATTCTATGACTTTTAGATTAAAAGGTGCTGTATTTTACCATTTCAAGCATGCTTTTTGATAAGTACCCCAAATTCCAAATGATACTATGAATGAAAACAGAAAGCTTGAAATATGCAAATGCTCCAAGGAGGAAGGAGGAGAAAGTAATTTCATTACAAAATAGTTATTTCCTGGAAGCCAGTGTGGTGAAAACCCGTTTGGACTGCCTTCATTTATCATCGTGTCAGCCAAGTGGATTGCTGTCACTGATGTTATGATTGAATAACAGCTGCACCAGAATGCAAGAAGTCTCTGCTTTCCATCCAGGTGCCAACCAAAGACAAAAAATGCATATTCTTTCTTTAAAGATGCTTATTGACTAAAGGGAAAAAGGTGATGTTAAAAAAAATATATTTTAAAGTAAGAAATTCTTTAGTTTTTGGGGTGTGGACATTATGCGAGTCACTTTTTTTACATAAATTTTATCTATAAAGTTGGGGCGTGGACATTACACTAGCGTATACAGTAATTATTTATGGATGATTGGAGGCCTAAGAAGTAGCAGAGATAACAATAAAAATGAAATTCAAATTAAAGGGAAGTAGAAATGAAGATATCTTATTAGATATTGTGTTGGATATCTGAAAATTGGGGGTTTTTAAACATTTATGACTTTAACTCAAACTGACTAGTGGTGTCGGACAAAAAACTAAAAAAATATATAATCATAAGAATATTCATATATCATATCGAACAATCGTGTAGAAAAACAATCATATAGTGGTAGTACAAGTTAAATTTTAGGTTCACATTGTGAGAAAAACCTAAGTAAAAGGAAAAACAATAACCCCAAATTCTATTAAACTCCATGTTTCTTAAAAAGCCTCCCGGCTCAAACAAATGGAGGGACATGACAGACCACCCAAAAAGTTACACACAAGATAAATACACAAATGCAATTAAATTTTAAACACACATTTATTAAATTCTTGAATATAATAATATTATTAGTAAATACTTGGATAACTGATCAGTATCCCCTATCACATATTTTTACCATGAAAATATTGCATCTGTCACACAAAATTTCAGCTTACAATAATTAAAACATTTAATTAGTAATTAAATTTTTTTTTCCGCAAATTAAGAAGGTGTAACATATTTTAATTCTCCAAATAAATGGGCCTCATTAATTAGAAACTAACATTTTCTGACCCACAAACTCAGTAGGTGAAACAAATTTTAAACATCCCAAAACTGGCCATCACTTGAAATAATAAATCACTTCTCAATTTTACTAACTGTAATATTTAATTTATATAAGTAATAACAATATAAACAGGTAGATAAATCATCATTCACTGTTTTACTATGACATTTGGGAATATTAAGAGAGAGAGAGAAAATAATCTTAAAAATTTCACTCGCATATTCTTCAGAATACACAACCTTGAGGGGAGTGTCCAGTTTTCCTAGTCACGAAGGAAGTCTATTTCCTTGAGCCAACACTTTGATTACAGTTTAACTAACACTCTTGCACTGAAGTCCCATCTGTACAAGAATATCTGGAAATGGGACAAAGACTTTTTTGTAAAACTAACTGCCAGATTAGGGAAAGGTTCACTCTTCAGGAACATATTTCTGTGTGGAACATCTAGGCGTCAGAAACACAAGAGCCAGAAAGTAATAACTACACGATGATTCGGAACTTCCAAGTGTCGGGCATATTAACTTCGGGAGATTATCCGGATATTTGGGTAAAGAAGGAAAATCTGTTGCAAATTTTCTGGTAGATTTGCTCTATACATCTCGCACTAAAGTAGTAATCAGCTCTCAGTATCTTTGCAGCACTCGCACATTTCTCCAGACATCTCGAGAGGAAAATGTTTCTTGCATCTTGCACAAAAACTTTTAAACATTTTGCAGAAAAGAATGTATCCTCTAGAGCAAAGAAAAACGCAATCCAAGCCCTCTTGCTCCGGCAACCAGCCGCACGGTAAAGCTGGCAGCAGGGTAAAATGCCTCTTGTTCGCTTTTTTCTCTTTCACATCCCCACTGCTCAAAATCACTCCATATCAGACTCCAAAGGAAAAACCATAACCAGAGCCGCTGGTACACACCACTCACGAGAGGAAGACCTGCAAGGGGTCAAGCCCACACTCTTTTCTCCTTTTCCTTTTAGCTCGAAAATTAGAATCAGAATGAATTCTAACAAGGTGCAAGCACCGAGGTAAATTCTCCTCTCTGCCCCCCCCCGAAAATTTCATTGGCTTACAACACATCATAAAATTAAAATCATGCCAATGTCAGAATTTTACTTTATCTAAACAGAAAATTCCACCCCCACGATGAATCAAAAACCAGAAAATCTGACAATGAAACCAACATCTGTATTCAGAAAAAAACGTGGGAACTAAACCCCCAACAAGCGGAAACTAGACTGTACGAGAATCCAACTACCTAAGCTTACTGAAAGAAACATTGCAAATACAACAAAGGGAAAGGAAGACAATTTTCGTTACAAATGCCATTAGTATAAAAAAGGCCACCAGCAAAGAAAGCAACAACAACGTAACTGCTCTCACTATTAGGAAAAGGCCATAAACCAATAAACTAGATGTGGCTTCCTTGCAACCGTCTCTCACTTTGTTACACTTCCTACTCAAGTTAATGACGAGTTAAATAAAGCTTTAACAACTTAAGAATTTTTTTTTTTTTTTTTTTTTTTTCAGATTAAAATATACATGAGCACAAATAAAAGTACTAGAATAATGATAACTTAAAACACCTATTAATAAGTAAAATAACAGTTGTAATATTATATTACTATTTATTCTAATTAGAATATAGGTTTCCTTTAAAAAAATAATACTGCAATAGTTACTCATAGTTTATGCAAGACAGAAAATTATTCTCAGTAGTTTATCTCTGTTTCTATGTGAACTCTGCTCAAAAGAGATGGACAGTGACTTTTCTCAAACCAGTTTCCAACTCTTACGTTATCACTCTGCCATTAGCTTTTCATGTTACACTTTCATAATCATTATCAGATGTCAAAAGTATAATCTGCAATTCTGCCCTAATTAATATATATTATTAAGTGTATATAACCTACTTAGTGTGCTGTAAATAAACAAATAATCTGAGTGTCATTAACTGTGTACAAGGCACAGTACTGATCACAACTAGATCTTATAAACCCATGATTCAAAACAGAAGTTAAACTATACAAAAAAAAAGTTAAAATTAACAGAAACAAATGAAATAAAAAAGTTAAAATTAATAGAAACAAGCACTTGTTATTTTTGAGTACTTTCTGCATGAAAAGGGTTACTAAACAGAAAATGCAATACATACAGATGATGCAGATATCTTGCTCTAATTCGTCTTAAGTAAACGTTAAAAAAAAAAAAAAAAAAAAAAAAAAAAAATTCAACAGTATGCTACATAAAATGCTTTGAAAAATCCGCTCAGAATTAATAAACAACAATGAAATTCACAAAAACTGGCATCAAAGATCATTTAATACACACAATGAAACATGTCTCAAAATTTTTAAAGTCTGTACTTTCCATTATGAATTTTACATTTAAAAAAAAAATAAAAAAATATAAATTGAACAAATTTTTAACTTTTTATTACTCACCTGACAAATAACATCATCAGACTTTAGTTCTAAACCTAAATCCCATTTATGATTGGGGTTAGGGCATTCCTCAGTTAATGAACCAAAACAGTTCATTAAAGGCATTCGAACGTGTAATTCACGCTTCAAAATTTCTTCTAACACTGCACATGATTTTTCAGTCTCATCATTCAACTAAAAGATAAATAATTTATAAATACAAATATGAATTAAAAAAACAATAAAAAAAATAAGAATAAATAAAAAATAAACAAACTTTTAATCTTTTAAAAATTTAAATAGCATATTCATTAAAAAGTAAAAATTAGTATTATGGTTTTCTTGGTAAAAAGCAATTTTAGTATTCAATTATTGCTTTGAACTCAAACTGTCTACAAAAATTAAAAGCTCAAGAGTTTGATTCAGAAAAATATTAACTACTTAGTATGGATAGTTAATACACTCATGTCCATAAATTAAGGATAATTCGGAGTCACGCGGAAATCGAACTCTAAAATAAATATATCACCTGTATAATCACTACATCTTGAAGAATCATATGCAAATTTCAGGAAGTACCCAGATGACACCGATGGTACGTTACAATGACGAGAGTGTAAGAGAGTGATATATAAGGAATACAGGCAAAGAAGTAAAATTGTTCGCAGACGCTTTATAAGCATTTCAGTGCAATAACCGAATAGTTATGACACAAAGGATGCATTTGGATGATTTTTTATGTGGTAGAATTATTGGCTCTTTGGAATTTTGGCGTACCCAACTGGAAGTATCAGGCGAACTTGGAATTCCCCAGAGTGTCATCTCCAGGCTTTGGCAATGATTCCAAGGTGATGGTAATGTGAGTAGACATTACAGCACAGGTCGCCCCAGAGTTACAACGCCGAATAAGGACCGGTATTTGCCAGTTACTGCCAAAAGAAACAGGCGGAGCACAGCCTCAGACCTGTCTTGTCAGCTCTCTTCAGCCACTGGTACGACAATTTCAAGGCAGACCGTGTACAGACGCTTAGGGCAGATTGGTCTATATGCTCGTAGACCTGTCAGATGCGTTCCACTTACTGCAACTCACTGTCGCCTGCGGTTAGCCTGGAGTAGAGAGCATGCATTGTGGACACCGCAACAGTGGGCTTGTGTGATGTTTTCCGAGGAGTCCAGGTTTAGCTTGCAGTCTGATTCTCGCGGACTTTCATATGGAGAGCTTCAGGTACCCGTTACCATCAAGAAAACATCATTGAACGACATCGTTACGGTGGTGCAGGAGTGCTCGTTTGGGGTGGAATTATTCTGGGTTCCAGAACTGACCTGCATGTTCAAATTGGAACCATGACAAGCCAAATCTATCGGGACGTCATTCTGGAACAACATGTACGTTTGTTTCGGGGTGCCATGGGTGCACAATTTGTGTTTATGGATGACAACGCCCGTCCTCACCGTGCAAACATTGTAAGCGAATGCCTTCAATCGGATAATATCACCCGTATGGACCGGCCAGCATTCTCACCGGACTTGAATCCAGTAGAGCACATGTGGGATATGCTTGGCCGACGAGTTGTAGCCCTTCAACCTCCTCTTACATGTCTACCAGAACTTCGGAGAGCATTGCTTTTTGAGTGGTGTAATACCCCCCAAGATCAGATCGATAATTTGATACTCAGCATGCCTAGATGTTGTACGGACTGTATTGCATGGTCTGGGAGACATATAATGTATTAAAAATCATACCAACCATGCAATATTGGTTTTTTGTAAACAGTTTTTTTTTTTTTTTTTTTTTTTTGTAGTTTGCTCCAGGGAGAATAAATCGCTAATTCTTTTTTTAATAATTATCAAACATATAGCATCTTTTTTTGCTCTTTACCTTTTGTTTAATAAATAAGCTTTACAAATAAGTCAAATTTGTTTTGCTTCTAACTCTTTCTTTGCCTGATTTTGCATTATCCTTAATTTATGGACATTGAGTGTATTTTAAATGCTCTGTCTATGACCATATAAGGGCTTCAGGTGAAAAATTAGAAGTGTCGAAGTCTAAAAGCCATCAGAAAAAGTGAAATAAATAAAATAATAATACTCTGCTTTGCAAGCACAGTAAAACTCTTTCAAGTGTTTCTAAACAAATCTTGGACTGAACATCAAAATTAATTATCTCTGCAAAATATCGCAAACTTACATAACTATAACTGTCATTAAAATATGCATCAAGCATTTTCATATTTTTTCTAATACGAATAGAAAACTAAAATAATCTTCTATTTACAGGCACTGATTTAAAAGAATAATCTCAAGCTCCAGATTTTCATCATTTGGGAATACAGAACTTTCAAATGTGTTACAACTATACAAAAGATATTGATGAGTAGGGCAGAACTACTCATCAATATCTATCTATTTCTATCTACAAGTATTATGCTAAATTAATTGCAGATTTTTTAGGAAAATCCATTCATACTAACATAAATTTCTCAATATACTTATTGAAACCAATATACTTATCACAAAATTGAAAGGAAAATTAGATATTTTGCAAAAGAATAAATAATTTTATTAGTTTAAAATAAACAAGAACAAATAATTTCATTAATTCATAACCCTTTTATAATACTTATTAAAACTGACAGCAATACTAAAGACTCGAAAATATAACTTAGTTCAAAGGAATTGCAGCATGAAATTATATCAGGAAACTACAGTACAAAGTCCAAAATCTGGACGTCCATTATCCGAAATGATCTACAATCTGGACCTCAAAGCCACAAACATTTTTTTTTTTTTTTTGGGGGGGGTATATGCTTTACGCATGCGCCTTTGATTTTTCCTTCCATAATAAAACATGTAGAGATTTTCACTTAAAAATTCAAATTCTTAATTTCACTTATGCGCTAAATAAAATACTTCATTATGGAAAAACAATCACGTAAGCCTAAATTTATGAGATTAATAATTTGGTTCCATAGCTGAGTATCTGCTTGGCATACATCTCAAACCCAAACATTCACCTATTTTATATCCCTTATGCCTACCTGGCGAGTCATTATTTATTATATTTTGCTTTCATCACTGCATGTTTATCAATACATGACAGCTTCAATAATAACGCATACAGCGATGTCTAAAATTTTTTTTATATTAGGAATTGAATAACAAGAGTATAGCAATCTTTGATGCTAACATTATGCTTGGCGATGATTATAGAATTTTAAATGCTCTAAGAAATGTTGACGAGGAAAAATTCAACAAAAATTTCTTTTCATATGCTAAAAATAGATTTTGTTAATGAAACTCGTAGGCCAAAAGATTACATTTAGTGCTATTTTAATAAAGAATAACTGATATGTTATTCAATATAAACCCAGAAGCGGTGGCAGAATATGTTGACATCAGATGGCAGAATTTAGGGAAGATGAAATTTTTGGAATTTGGGAAAGCATTGAGCGGCAAAATTAAGGGAAGAGAAGTATTTTATGATTTAGGGAAAGCACTGGGACCCAAACTTTAGCCATGGTGAAAATTTAGAACTTAGGAAGGCACTTTGTAGTAGCATTTAGGACCATTTTAGACTGCACCACACGGTATCTAATGCCGGCCCTAGAAAAAACGTTGAGTATATGTGAGAGTTTATTTATTCAGGACTCAGATTAGTTTTAAGCATGTGCAAGAAATAAACTTAGGTATAGTAAATAACTAAACTAATACAATTCAGGCTTAATTCAATAAACAATAGGAGCAAGACAAAATTTAGCAAAACAACTTGGCTTTCATTGCCAATCTTGTGATACACAGCCAATAATGTATAACAGACACTATTAAGCTAGACTAAAATTATCTTTACTAATTCTAAGGCATTTCAGTTAATGTAGCAGACTGTGCTGCTCCTTAATCTTCTAATTTGATCCAGCTTATTATTTTTTGCAAGCTGTTATTATTACAGCAATTTTATAAAAACTAAGCTTGAACTTTCGATTATGTCGAGAAGTGTTTCTTATTCTGGAGCTGCCAAAGGATCTACGGTCTCAAAATTATGCGAGGAGTATGGCATTGGAAAATCAACTGTATATGACATAAAAAAAGGAACTTTTTGAATTTTTTGCGGAAGCAACTTGAACAATTTACATTGAAAGAAATGTTTAATAAAGTAAACAAATAAATATTAAGCTTTTTTTTTTTTGTAAATTTTGATACCCTTTAGATCATAATTGTTCTTTATTTCATAAAATTATGATTTCATATTTTTAATTGTATAATTTCTGCATGCCATCTCACCGTATTTAAATGGATGATCTAATATCCGGAAAAATCCCAAATCCGGAATCGACGAAGTCCCGATGAGTCCGGATTTTGGATTTTGTACTGTATTATACATTAATTTTTTTATTTTGCTTCAATGCATCTTGTTTTCAAATTAAGCTATTTTCTAAAATTTTAATGCTAAATAGAAATTTTTCTCCTCTGTTGATGATAATTTATTGGTATTAAAAATTGAAATGCTTACGATTTTTTTCAGCATTCAAGGCAATAACTATAATAATTTCTAAATGCCTTGAATTCAAGGCATTCAAGGCATTTAGAAATAGCACTGAGTATGAAAATTATTCTGTAATGCAATCTTCATATATATTTATTTTCTATGTGATAGTAACATTCTAGAGATCATAACAAGTACCTACATATTTCATTTACATGCTGAATAAAAATACATATAACTTAATTTCTCCTTATGTAAAGAATTATAAATTTCTCTTATGTATAAAAATATGTTTAAAAAATATCAAAGATAGTGAACGAATTATACAATAAATACTATCAATAAAATATTTTTAAATCATAAAAATTACATAATTCTCCCTATCCTATTTATTCATGTGTTCTTTTCTTTTCTTTTTTTTTTTTCAAGCCCAAAATAGCATTAGCTGAATGGCACCAAATGACATTAGGTAAATAGTGTGAATGGGATATTAGTCTCAAAAAGGCATTTTGCGTTAAATCACTAGAAATGGCATATCACTTTTCAAATTGTTGCCATCAAATATTAATGCCCTGTATTACATTTAAAGAAATTAAATAATGACGAATCTGCATTGATGCATGCAAGTTTCTCACATTGTGGAAAAGACAATGGTAGCTAGAACCATCAAATTTTGAATAACAAGTCCTCCACAAGAACATGGGCACTAGAAGCCCAAATTTTGAATTTGTTTTATTATCTATTTCATATTTTGTAAATCTTTACGAACTCAACAATTTCAAAGCAAACAGTAGTAATACTGTACAGAAAAAACATTATCTCCAGCGAGTGATACTTTCTATTAGAAATACTAAAGACATACTGTTTTTAAATATTTTGTAATTTTTGTTGTTGATTTGAATTTAGGGACCTGATATTAAGTTCATAAATTTAACACATAAAACTTTAATAATAAAAAATACAAAAGAAAAAAGAGCTTTGCAAGGCATCTTACTAAGAAAACTGAACACTGATATGATGAGCTAAGAAAAGACTGAAAAATATATAAAAAGGTATGCCACAGCACTTTAAACTGCATTGGAAATTCTACACATAATGCTGGTATGCTGCTTTTAAAATTTTTACAATTTTGTTGTTGAATTGTATTTGGCATACGTGCAAAGAATGCAATGCTTAATAATGCAGATAAAAAGAAGTGGGTTAGCAGGAGTAAGTACAACAGGGGACTGGTAGACTGTGAGCTCAACCAGAGTGTAAAAAAACCCTAAGAAAACCTTTTGAGGGACCATTAAAACCAGAACTTCAGGTTTTGCACCCCACCTCCTTTAAAAAAAATTAAAAAAATAAAAAACCTCATTTTTACCAGTAGAAAATTGAGAAAGGAAATATAGACCATTTCTGATGGAAAGGTTGAAGAAAAAAAAAAAATTGGGGGGGGGGGAATGGATTAAAAATTATACAAGAAAATTAGATAAAACAATACCACTACATTCTATGCCTCAATGACAGTTACTGTTTTTTAAAATCAATCTTACTGTTTTTAAAATCTAAACCAAATACTTATATAATGCACTATTTTGTTAGCTACCAATATTTAATATAATGTTACTATAAGTTAATGTTTCTAGATTTTATACTGAAAAAGCTTGGAGGGAGATATGCAAGGGAAAGAACTATGCAAAGCAAATACAGTAATACTAAATTAGTAAATAACAATTATAATAATAATATATATGTAGCAAAATTTGCTCATCCTGCGATTTCCACGAGCATATGTTTTTCTTCCTTTATTGAGGAGTGCATCCCGTTTTTTCCCCCGTTTAACCATTGAAATGAATTATATACAGTATTAGGTGTTTAGTTTACATTTTGGCCAACATATATCATTAGTTGTCCACTAAAATTGCGGCATTTGAAGGCACGTGGTATTACCGCTCAAACTTCACTTTTTGCCGCTTTTTTCTTACAGAAATGGCTGCTAGAAAACGTTCAGCGATTATCTTGATTATTTAATTAAATTATTGAATTAATAATGAGATTTATTGATTAGATTAATAATTAGATTGATTATTAATTAGATTTATTGAATCTGGTGCAAAGACTGTGAAGTTGGACTTTGCCTTGAAGCCTGTTTTGAACTCTATCATACTAAACTGCATTTCTAAGGTATTTTTCCCTAAGCGCTATATATTTTCTTAAATGTTATACATTTTACTTTTTTATATTATGCAATAAATAGAAATTAACTGTAATTCGACTGAAATTTATTTAAAAAAAGATTTTTTTCGGTGATAACATCTGAAATTGGTTTTTCTGGCAACTTAGTTTCTCACAATAAAAATCTATATAAAAATATTTTCTAGAAAGAAAAAGTGAATTTTCCAATTCTCCAATACATATAGATTTAAAACATGGGAAAAAAACGCACAATTTTGGAAGCGATTTTGGTCCACAAATTGAGCAGTCAGAGGTTTAAAATTCTCAACAATAACGATTTGCAAAATTTCCCTTTGGCATAAAAGAGCTAAATTAAATTAGAATATTACAATACTGTTATAGTTATAAGCATATAAATATTATTCTTTAAGTTAAAATATATTCAGAATAGTACATTTGTAAAATGTATAAAAATTATTTTTCATTTTTATAAAAAAGTTCAATTTCTTTTATCTGTAGATAAGCAATGAAAAGTAATCGCACCTTCCGCATTATTGATTCAGTTAGTGCTGGAGATACAATAGCTGGATCAACTTGACCTGGACTACAAAAAATAAAGAATATTTTAATAATTGAAATTTAAATATAAATAATTTGAAGAATGGAAATGAGAAAACAAAAATTTGATACTCACACTGTATTAAATTAGTGAGAAAATAAAATCATTAAAATTATATCAAAACTACATGTACAGCAAAAGTGTACCACTGCAATTAAAAAAAAAATCATTTTCTTTCAGTGCGTACTACTAAAAAGGGATGAAGAGGCAGCATGCAATGCTAGTAACTATTTTGTAAATTCATTTGCATTCATTTAACATGTACAATATTTTGCACTGATACCAGCGATTTAAAGCATAATTATTACTATTTTGAATATTAGTTATATTAATGATTTTATTTTGTGGGTCATGTATGTTCCATGTGGTTTAATGTGGATTACATTTGCTCCATTAAGAAGCAATTAAAAAATCATTTTGTAAAAGAGACAGGAATTAAGTCAGACCCTATAAATTTACCATTATTAAAATTAATTTGGTACTTTCTGATTCCTGCATCTCCATAAAAAGTTTCCAACTCATTGGCAACTTTGTGAATTGAATAAAAATGTTTGGTTACTTTTTTGACTCAGAAGTACTATACTTTCTAAAATAATACAAAAATAAAACATTTCATAAGAAAAAGGAAATGTTATGGGGGGGGATGTATATAGACAACATTTAAATTTTTACAACTGGTGAACAGTGTTTAACTATATGCATGATTAGCTACTGTGGAATGCATATTTGAAAACTGCCAAAAAATATAGAATTCTATCAAATGTTGAAACTATAAGTCAGGGTAATCAGAAAGTACCACACACTTTTGCATATAAATACAAAAAGGCTCAAAATTCTCAAAAGTTTTTCATTTAGGAAAAATTTACAGGATTTTAAACAATATAATAATAAACCAAATATAAAATTAAATATAATAAGCAAATAAACTTACAGTTGAACATTGAGGCCTTTCTGACTTTTGGTAGGAAAACTACCTTCAACAACAGCTCTTAGGATCCTACAAATAATTAACATGTAACAAACTGCAAGGCACAAATGTTTTTCCAAGGAAAAAATATGTTTTAATTAGCATATATGAATACACAAATCATATAAAAAGAGAAGGCGATTTAACCATTCCCCATGCACCAGTATCTTAATCTTCCAAATTAAAGTTAATTTTTGATGTTCTAAGAATGATATATTATAAAATTATTTTGTTTTAGTCTTTGTTACACATAAAAATATCTCAAAATCTACAAAAGATGGGAATGCTGTTTTGTTCTTGATTACCCAGAAAATAAGAAATATCAATGTTCGTTGCCAACTAAAGCAAATGTATGGTGATACAATTACAAACAAAAGATACACAAAATGGCAGTAGGCAACATTCAAAATTCAAAATTGAATTTTAACCTGTTTAAAGAAACTAGATTTGAAATATATTATTAATACAAAAAAATTTAAAAAAACTTTCAGAAGTTCAGGAGGATAACAAAATCTTGAAAGACAAATGTAGATATATAATACAAGTTAAACTATATGTTACTAAAGCATTTCCCAATTTTAGCTTAGTGAAACTGCATGTTTGTTTATATATGTTACCGTGAAAGACCGAAATTGGAGAATGTCGACTTTCACCGGAGAATGTCAACATTCACCAAATACGTCGGTGAAAGATCGAATATTGCATTACATTCTTGTACATTCGGACCCTCACCGGTGTATGTCGACACTCACGGATGTGCTCTGGTGTAGGTTGAAAAGAGAGGAGTATATGTACACGCTGTCATTGCAAAAGGAAGTGTTCCACAAATAAATGCTGTTGTAAAAGCAAGGGCCTCTTGTGCAATTGAAAGTGTCATAAGAGTTTAAGTTTTTGCAATAAATAAGATTTGAATCACGTAATTTAGTAAGTTTTAAACTTCTATTATTTTCCTTTCTCATTTTGAATGTACAGTGTGTTTAAGTTCTTATATTCTTAAGTTCTAATCTAAGTGCGTTTTTTCGTGACCGAATTACGGAGAAGAAAATATAATATTCTTATGTGTTCAACATTCACCATTAGTAGATGGTGAATGTGACATTTACCGGTGTAAGTCAGAAATAAGAGTATTTGGAAAATATTTCGGACATACACCAAGCGACTATGTGAATGTTGACATTCACCGGTGAAAGTCGACATTCTCCAAATTTCGGTGTTTCACCGTAACATACATATATATATATACAGAATTGTTAAGTAAAGGAGGCTCTGATTCTAAAATTAAAAATTTTGAAAACAGATATCGATAGAGGAAAACAACAAGGGGTATATTTCTTCCAAATGCTGTAAGATTGTTGTACAGAGTTTTCCAAGTAATAGTTACAAAAGATGCAAACAGACAGCAATATAATTGCAATATGTAGTATGTATAAATAATTCTCCAAGAGACGTAAGAGCAACCACCTCCACCCTTGAAACGTGAAAGGTAGTTAGCATATGGAAGGAGGAGGTTGAATTCATGTATTCCATTGAACAATGTGTTTCTGGTACTGAGATATCAGAGGTTAGATCACAGTCCTATAGAAACAAAGCACAGTTTTCAAACATGACTGAATGTTCCCAAAGGACCTGGTGTGAAACCATTCACAAGCTCTTCGCTAAATGTCCAACAGACAGGCACCATGGCCAACGCTCTGGTGGGAGTTTTGGTTGCTTCTGAAAATATTGCAACTGTTTCTGGAATTATTCAGCAAAATCCAAGGGCATTCCAGCACGCAGCATAGAAGCAGCCTAGACGTGTTTCCATTCAAAATCCACAATCACCAGGTGCCAGCATACACCCATCTGTTGAGAGTTTTTGTAACTAATATTTCAAAACTTCTAACTCTAATATTTCAAAACCATCTTACAACTTTCATAATAAATATATCGCTTGTTGTATTCCTCAATCGATCTTTGTTTTTGAAATTTTTAATTTTAAGTTTTGACTTTGCTGGACACCATGTATATATATAATTGTGTATAATAAATTCAAGCAAACTGAATGATTAACATGAAACTTAGAGAATAAATTTGGCACCATATTTCTTTTCTCCCTTCCACTGTTTTTTAAACACTAAACGACGGTATAGAGATAATTTGATTGCTCAAACTATTACTGGTTTAGGAGTTATCCCAAAAAGAAAACGTCAAATTACACATATAGCACCCCCTAGCTTACTCAAAGAATACTGTGAAAATTCAGACTAACTTTTTTAATACAGAAAGCCAAAGTGACAGTTTTCCACATTATGACTGGTGCATAACAATACCACACCAAACTGAAAGAGGCTATAGATGTTAAAAACTAATTCAGGTCTTAGATTGTTTATTACAACTGCTAATTTTTACACCACTTCCACAACTCATTACTGGACTAATTCTGGATAGGAGGTTTATCCACTCTTTATGTCCTGGAACTTCTTCAAAATGATTCTCACACCCTCCTTCAGCTTCAGATGTATCAGAGCAGTATATATCTTGCAAGTGACAATAATTTGAAACAGCCAGTTCATAATTGCTTGAAATGATAACAATAAGCTTGGACAACATATCTTTTTATTACTTATTCAATAATTTCATACTTTGCGGAATTATCCTATTATCAAAATTTTCAGTCAATCATTGGCACAAATATCACGTACACTAATAATGTACACTGCTAAAAAAAATGGGACAGTGCTATATCTCCCGTTCTACTGGGCTGATTGACAAAATTCAAATTGCGTTCTTTATGTCTCGAAAGCGTGACTTAGGATATATATTAGATTTATATATAGCACTATTCTAACATAGGTATTTTGACCCAAAAATCGGACTTTTTTTGAAATAACATACCAATTTTTTTTTACATATTTCGATTCTACAACTCAAATTACGCCTAAATATGAAATTTTGTAAAATTTGGAGCGAAATTTACGGAGATATTCACAAATTTATGTTGTCACTTTTTTTTTCAGTTTGCGCCAAGAATAGTTCACTTGGCGAACTTCTTAATATATGGCAATTTAGTTTCCTTTCCCGTGAGAGGAAAAAAAGGTCACCAACGTTCCTTTTTTCAAAATAATATTCTTTATATTATATTTTTAATAATAACTGTTATTATTTTAAGTAATTTTTTCTTTTTCGAATAACTGTTTTAAAAATTTCTATTTACCTATTCGAACTGTGTAAATAAAGGTGCAGTGTTTATTTTTTTTCAAATAGTTTTCTTTATATATATTTTATGTCATAGTTACTATTTTAGGTAATTTTTAAATTTTTATACTTTTATTTTAATTGCTTGTATTGCATTGTCTCTTAAGATAATTTTTTTTTAAAATTTTCTATTTATTCATTCGAACTAAGCATTTTAAATAATATTTATTAATATAAATTTTCCAGAATTTGATTTTATTTATTTGAATTGCGTTTCTTTTGGAAGAATACTTTGTAACCCAGACTACGATGCGTTTGAGAACTGAATAATACACTAAAGCACAGTTAACACGCTTCTCAATGTTCCGTTCAGAAAAGATATATATAAATAAGAGAGATGTATAACTGACATTTTAACTTAGGATGACTTGCATACACTGCTTTAAACAGTTTTATCATTGTGCCCATTGCTTTACAGAATTTTATCCTACATTTGGGTTCTTAAAATGTTATTCATATTTTAGTCAAATATTTTAGTTTTGAAATCGCAAGAATCAAATATCATGAAAAGTTTTAAATTAAAAAAAAAAAAAAAAATACAAATACTAAATTTTATGCAAAAATTTATTTTTTCTTCTCTTTTTCTTCAGGCATTCTACTTTATTCTTGCTCTTTTTCTTTAGGCATTCTGCAAGCATATTAAAAAGCATCCAACTTTTCGAAATATCTTGACATTTCTGACAATCATTTTAAATAAAGTTATCGCCTTCCATTTCATAAAGACCCACAAACGGCAGAGTGGTAAAGTCGCTGAACACTGGTAGTTCGGAGTTCGAATCCCGGTAAACGGGCTGGTTGCATGTGCGTTTTCGTGGATTTTCTCATGTGTATCGTGTATGCCAGCTGGTTTCCCTTAGAAAGTTCTTCACAAAGTATTTGGTCAGAGCCTTTTATCAGTCTTTAGAGACTAAACATTTTGAAGGTATGAGATGAAAGGAAAGACTGGTTTCATCAAGAGGTTTTGGTTTATTTAATTATGACAAAGAACACGAGGGCTATCTGCCTAAGGGAAGGGATGCCTTCGTGGAGGACTTTCTAAGGGAAGCCTCGCATACATGTTACACATGGGGAAAACCAGGAAAACGCCCATGCAGCCAGCCCGTTCGCGGGATTCGAACCTCAGACCGAACTACCAACGTTCAGCGACCGCTGTTTCATCAGGAGGAAAAAAAAAACATCTTTAGGTGACATCCACATACATCACTGGATAAACTCCTGAATCTTCAAATAATTCGACTGAGAAAATCATGGGATTCTCCATTTATGATATGATATGATGTTCTATAACGAATTTAAATTTATACAACCATATAGACTAAAACCAGTCGCTCTTCACTTTAATGTGCAATGATATCGTTTTTGTCTTTTCTGTTAACACAAGCTCAATTGATGGTATTTGCTAGTGTACACATCCAGGTGTTTTCTCTTTGAACACCTAAATTCTTTGAAGTATCCTGAAAGTATATTCAAAAGTGTCCAACTTTTTTAAACATCTTGGTATGTCTGACAGCCAAATTTCCCTGCAAATTTTTGCTTACTTTTCTCCCTAATTTTCTTCTTTCCTTCTACAGTTGTTTTCAGTGCTCACACAAGAAAATAAAGATTTTTTGACTGCTAGACTTCCATAAATTTTTCATTCTTGTAAATTTTTTAAAATATCTATTACATGAATTGCGTTTCAGCTGAAGACAGCTTTTCATTTTCTAGTCATTTTAACTATAAATAAAGTTTAAAGCGAAGTCCAAAGGATAAATATTTTAATTAAAAAGATTTTTGCTAACTGACAAAGAAATAAA